TCTCATGTCAGCTCTTCCCCGGCACCAACAACAGGCTGCTATCGATCGAAGTGGCTCTCCATCATAAAAACAACAACAGAATAAGTTATCAGAAGAGCTTGCGGTCAACGTTCATAATACGTGTATAAAATAATAGTAATAATCACAGCCAGTGGCAACCTTTGCTACTGTCCCCGTTGTACAATCGTACGTGTACATTTCAACGTCCTCTCCACCTGGTTTCTAACAAAAGGTAACTGGGTCATTGGCCGTGACACGAGACAGATCTTCAACCTGTCAACTGTCTGCATTATATTTAAAGTCCTTAGGCCTATCTGTCACTGAAGGATTTAGTTAGTCGATGCCGCAGGCTGCTCTCAGTCAGGACAGCTGAGCAGACTCTGGACGAGGTCAAAGGTCACATGATAGGACAAAGTCTAAAATGGCGGCTGCTTTCAACATCGATATTTCCACTATTCCTGTAAACAAAGATTTGGTGAAGGAGAGAGCCACTGCATCGTTCAAAGTTGCTGAACTGACTCATATCATAGACGGCGGACCAGAGAAAACGAAACGAAGGAAAGAACTAGGTTTGTATCTTGTGTTTGAATGAAATAATTCTCGACACATCAGTTCATTGAGCCGTCTGCAGCATTGGCGAAGAAATCAGGATTGAGATGATCAGCTGGGTTACCGGTGTGGGTTTTGTTTATTGTTGTCAGGGTAGAATTTCCGGTAATCTCTGTTTTTTCTACCCCAAGTGGAATATAGATAGGCTATAGTATAGGTAGTAGGAACTTTAGATCTATGGGTTACTGGTAGTGTAAGTTTAGGGTTTGGTAGCCTACTAAGCCTACTTGAGTAGGGTTAGGGAGTTTTGTCAGTAGATCTAGACTATACCAGGCAGTGTTGTGAAAATTTCAAATTTCTTGGTAAACAGGCTAAAATAAAAGGCTGCCTCTATTCGGACACTTGTCCGATTAAGCTTCCGTATATTTTCGGACACGGGTATCCTTTATGAATGCGAGTTCCGTACATTTTTGTTTTTTTTTCTATTTGAGAATGACGTGCTTCTGAACTCTTTCTTTTTGGACAAATCATCTTTGCAGTTTGCGTAAAATTGCATTCTATTTTTTATTTTAGAGAATGATCGAAACCAATAGTGATTGTTTTGTTTCTTGACGTAAATCGACATGCAATACACATGTTCTTAAAGAGGAAAAATTGTTCTTTAGAAGTATCGTGTCCATGTCCAAATAGACAATGTGAAAAAAAAAGGTCTTGCCCTCCAGATTATCATTTAAAAAAAAATTGTGTAGCCTAAATACGTTTATTGGTTCAAAAGTTATGACCATTTTTGTGGACGAAATTTTGCCTTGATTTATTAAATTATTTGCTCTGAGTTTTGTGGCCAAATTAAGATGCTTTCTACTCAAGGAACAACTA